AGGTTTTCAAAATGGCATTCTACTTTATTAATGATTTTGTTAAAAAAAAAAAAGAATTATGTCCACTCTTAGTAATACCAGGTCTACTCTTTAAAGGACATATTACTATTGTACCATACATGGTAATTTTTTTTAAAAGGTTTATGAAATGGTAAAAACTATATATCCAAGGTATAATTTCTTTCCTAAAAATGACAATTTCGACCTTTTTTTTTTCTTTTTTGTTTTTAACCATTTTTAGGTTATTTACCTTCATTTTTTTATTATGACATTATACTTTGTACATGTACTATTCCTCTAAATGTATTTAAACAATGACAATTTCTGTAAATTTGGTCACTTCCACTGTCTTAAAATAGGATGTTATTATGAAATATAGAGAATTTAGCTATACTTGAGTACATGGTTGACAGAAAAAACCAAACAATACCATTCCTTTAACTTATTTCAAACCAATTATTGCAAATCCATTCAGAGTGGTTGAAATAGATCGGACTCTTTTATATTAAAAATGACAACTATGCCATTTTATATTATAAAAATGACAAATATTCCCTTTTAATAGATAAACTGCCGTTGTTTATTTTCTATCGGCTATATTTTTTTTAATTATGTTGTTTACTGTCAAATATAAATTCAAGCTATCATTTAGGTAGATAATTACAATTCTGCCCTTTTATATTAGAAAATGACAACTCTATCCTTTTATATTATAATATGACAACTATGCCATTTTATATTATAAAAATGACAAATATGCCATTATAATAGAAATATTGCCATTTCTCAATTTCTATCGGCTATATATTTTTTACTTATGTTTTTTACTGTCAAATATAAATTAAACTTATAATTTAGGTAGATAATGACAACTCTGCCCTTTTATATTAAAAAATGACAACTTTGCCCTTTTATATTATAAATGACAAATATGCCCTTTTATATTGTACTTAAAAAAGGAAACCCGTAAGTTTGACAGTTTTTGATGGCAAGGACAATTTTAAAAAATCAATGTATATGTCAACAAGAAATGAAGAGAAGATGAAGGTTTTGACACCAAAAGTTAAAAAACAATGGTTTTATATGATCAATTGGTAATATTGGGAAGGGTTTTCTTTTCATTTCCATTAAGTTATTAATAATTCATGCAATTTCTTTAAATACTAAGTATAACATTGTACTTTTAGTAGTATAAATGTTTACAATGTTGGATTGATGGAATTTAATACATTTGTGGAAAGGACATACCTTTCATAACATGTGGAAAGGAAACATGACAGATTCTCTCAACTATTGTTGAATGCAACATACTTGCAACACTTATGGGGCGTTTGTTTTTTCTCTACAGATTTGCATGGTCTCTTCTGTCTGCTAGACGCAGACCACGCGCAGACTTAGAGGTCTGCAGTGCGTTTGTTTTTCTAAAGTGCACAGACATAAAAACGTCTGCGCAAGGTCTTCGCCACATAGACTTGGGCCAACCTCTTCTAAAATCTACGAAGTGATTTTAACCTAAAAAAACGTGTCTCTTCTTTTGTTTGCGCCTCCATCGTCAAAACATCCCACACTTCCCAGCCGATAGAACCTTGACCACTCCATCTTCAAACCATCGTCGAACAACCTTCGATTAGCACCGCTGGTCGCCGCCATCCTCTTAGATCAAAGACGTCCAGGCGAGCAGGCGACACCTCCGACCGGGCCAATCAGCGAACAACAGCGAACATGTTTGTTTCCTTCGGGGTTTTTTTTTTTTTTTTTTTTTTTTTTTTTTTTTTTTTCAATTCTAACATGAAATTGAGGATTACTATTGCTGGAAAACTCACTAATGCACTAATTTGTTGATAAATTGTTGTTAATTGAGGATTACTCTTGCTTCAAATTGTTGGATTGTTGTTAATTGTTGATAAATGTTGCTGAAAATTTTAGTGCTTCAATTTGTTGTTAATTGTTGTTAAATGTCGCTAGAATTTGTTTCAAATTGTTCAAATTGCTTCAATTTGTTGTTAAATGTTGATGAAAATTGTTATTTGCTAAAATTGTTGTTTGATTGTTTTTTTTTTCCTTTTTTTGCTGAAATGGTTATAAATGTTGCTGAAAGTAATATTTTTTTTTACTGAAATTGTTGTTAAAAATGCTAAAAACATGTTTCAATTTGTTGTTAAAAATTGTTTTTTTTTTTTTTTTTTTTTTGCTGAAAAGGTTATAAATGCTGCAGACGTTAAAAAACAAACAATCTTCTTATTACAACGTTTGATCCACCTCTTCTGTTGCAGAGGCTTGCAGATGAGGTCCGCAGACTACAAACATTTTGGCTCACACCTTACTGAATAACCATCATCATGCTTTATGATTATGGAGATTTATTGCTACAATAACAATTCAAGATTCAATTTGAAATACAATCAAACTTCAAATAATAAATACAGGGAGTACATTTAATCACATCTTCTACAAAAACGAAATTAGTAATTTTACCTTTTCTTCATTGTCGCCCTATCTTCATCGTTGAAATCCAACAACCAACATATTCCAAAATTAGACCACAAGGATGCCATTATTCTTTCATAACTTTAGCAACAGACTGAAATCGCTTTTCAGGTTTCTTTCTGGTCTACTATCTATCACAAAATTGGACTTGTATTCCTCCCGATTTTGGGTTTCAACCCTGTATTTATTCCTGATTATGCTATTAAGAAGTGGATATAGTGGGGTGGCTATGTTGTAAGGCTGCTACGAAGACAATGAGATCTTCGATTACAAGAGATTGGTACTTTGAAATGCAGAAATCGAATACATCATTTGGTGTATGTGATTTCAGAAAGAAAAAAAAAATAGAAACGATACTTTGAGTCTACAATGTCGGTTAGAAGAAATAATGTTTTTAGGGTTAAACTTATTTATGGCTAAATTGTAATTTGCAATATATATATATATATATATATATATATATATATATATATATATATATATATATATATATATATATATATATATAGGGTTAGATTATATTGTTCTAACTATCTATTATGTGCATGTAAGATTGATTCTGAACCAATCATTTTAGTTATTTTAAGAAATTAATTAATACATATTAGATGTTAAACATATAATGAGCATTAATTAGAACTTCAACATTTAATATTCATTAATTACTTTATTAAAATAATTAAAATGATTGGTTCAGAATCAATCCTACAAGCACACAATAGATAGTAAAAACATTTGAACATAACTCTCTCTCTCTCTCCCTCTCTCTCTCTCTCTCTCTCTATATATATATATATATATATATATATATATATATATATATATATATATATATATATATTCTTTTTAAACAATTTTAATTTCATAATAAATTTTCTAATTCATATTTTTCTTAATCGTACTTATGATCACTACTAACTTTTTATATGATATATAAATAACATTGTAATTAACAAAAATATCAAAAAATAATAAAATATTGTAAATAATGTTATATGGACTAAAAGTTTCAATTTTTATTATTAGTATTTTTATTATACGTCGAGGCATTTTGTACATATCATAATATATAATATGTATCTTTTTGTTATTGCTTACAAAATAAATTCTTTTATATATATATATATATATATATATATATATATATATATATATATATATATATATATATATATAATTTTCATAATATATATCATACAATTTTTAATCAAATGTCCTTATTTCAATCATAATATATTGTTTATTTTTAAAATTCCAAATGTCATTCCTCACAAAGATATAATTATATATATTTTCTCTTTTTTACATCATAATTATTATTTAAAAAATGTCTACAAAGATGATGGACAAATAAATTCTCATTACCGCTTTATAACATATTATGTTTAATATATATATCTTTTAAACTTTTTGATACAACATAAATTTGTTAATTTGATCAATAAAACTTTTAATGTTATGCACAAAGGACTATTTAAAAATCTAAGTGTTATGTTTATGTTACTTATCAAATTAATTAAACATTACTTACAATCAAGATGGCGGTGCATTTTTCTTGCAATTATTTTTTTTATCTATATAAAAGTTTAAATCATACCGACTGTGGTTTCCATGGGTTATAACCTACTTAGCTAATACTAGACTAAGTAATATAGAAAAAAAAACTTGGTAAATAAAATGGAAAATGATTATGGAGGGTAACCAACTGTTGAGTTTATTCTCATTTGATCCTTTTTTTTGTACCCAATATACCATCGAACTTGTTGTTTGTATTCACTATAGTCGGTCAAAAGCCGGTTAAAAGGGATATGATGAACACAACAACAAGTTCGATGATATATTGGGTACAAAAAAAAGGAAAAGAGCCAAATGAGAACAAACTCAACAGTTAGTTATTCTCCAGAATTATTTTCCCTTGCTAGAAATAACCAGATACTTCATTTATTTGGAATAAACGGTTCTCAAAGAAATCAATTCTATTTTTTTCTCATTGGTAAAAAAAGGTTTGAATGTGCACTTCTAGGTTAAACTACAAGGCCTTAAATAGTTGAACATAATCAAAGTACTAGTTTTGAGATTTTTGCCAAATTTTGTAATCTTATTAGTTCAATTTAAGCTTTAAAACATTGTCAAGGACCTCTAAATTAGATTTTCTTCAATGATTTGAATATAGATCCAAATCATATTAGATCACTAATTTCATAAGAAAATATGAATTATGATGGATTAAAAGGTGATCTACAATTGCAATGGTTCAAAACAATCATTATAGCTTTATAACTTCCAAATTGAACATTAACAAAGATTCCTTCAATATATTAATTTGAACATGGAACCCTAGAATCCACTCCAAAACACAATAAATCATAACACATACTATCATTATCAACAAATCATGAGAAATCAATTCAAATTCTTGGTAATATGTTTAACCAAAACCATTTCTAATTTTTGATCAAAATCAAAATAAACCCCTAATTATCTTCTTAAAATCACCAGACATAAAGCTCTTATCATTGAGGTGGATGCACATTAGCTTTTGCAAATCTTACACACCCCACAATGGTTACAGCAAGAACAACCGATAACTGCACATAAATCCGTTCATCAGCAAGTAAAATGACATTTTTGCCCTCACGTGACTGGGGAGGAGAGGATACTACCCGTACCTTGGCGTAGGAAGATTTTGATGCTCCTGACGACATAGCTTGTTCATGTGATTCAATCGCCTGAAAGAAATCACAGTAAAATTCTAACAATGGTGAAATTAAATCAAATAATTCATCATTCAGATGATAAGAACAACAATGTACGTTTTCAGCCTCTTCAATTGATTTCTGATAAAGTTCATTACCTGGATCCTGCTACAGCCAATCAATAATCGATTATACATCAAGCGAATTAAAAAAAAAAAATCAATTGTTAAAGAGAAACTTGCATCAGCAGTTGCCTTTTGGAAGTAAGTATAAACCGAATCAAAATTATCTTTAGCTATATGATCATTTGGAGTCATAATAGCAAGAGAAGTCAGAGCACTACCCATGCACCACAATGCCTCGTGTTTCTTAGGATCGATGAACAATGCTTCATACAGTTTCCATATAGCATCTGATCGATCGTGTAGAAAATGAGATTTAACCATTAATCATGATAGATCCATGAACTCATGTCATAAGGATCAGGCTTACATTTAACAATTGTCTTCGACTCCTCTACACTCTTGAATGTTGACAATTTAAGCAAATCCCTTCCCCATTCGATTAGATTCTACTCCAATCGATCGACGAACAAGGAAATACATGAATCAGAAGGTGTCATAATATATAGAACAATGAATATCAGAAAAGATCTTTGATGAATATATATTGTCAAAATTTTCATAAAAGATGTTTGTTGAATATGTTTTTTTTTTTTTTTTTTTTTTTTTTTAATGCAGAAGAAGATAGGGATCTATATGTTGATAAATGATCTTCACTTTTACATATTTTAAATTCTTCTCTTTCGCTAATTGAGGGATTGAAGGTCCTAAGTCTATTAAACTCAAACTGAATAATAATGCAATGTTTAAGGAATTTAATGACTACTATTTATAATATGGATATTGATAAGAAAAGCTTGAGTCTCAAAGGAATCTAATAATAATGAATATAAAAGTTAGGTTTATTTTGAAAAAAATAAATAAATCTAAAACAAATATAAGATAAAAATATAAAGTTATTTTAGAAATAAATCAAATTTATCTATCGGTAACGGACTCCGTTAATAAACTAACATTGAATATGCTGAGTTAGGTTTATTTTAACAAAAAAAAAGTTTTAGAAAACGAAAAAAAAATGTAAGCCTTTTATTGAATAAATTTATTGATAAATGAAAGTCTCAACTCATTAGCATACCATGATACCAACATAATTGGATTCCAATAGTAAAATTTTCATTACTTTAATACCATTGCATTGTTCATTCTTTATACCAACTTAAAATTCTTACCATAAAGATTTGTGTCAAGTGACCTTATCGTGGGTACACAACTAGTATCACCATAAAACATAATCAACTTTTGTCTGATTGCATCAGTCTCGTCTCAAATAAAATGCATTGTAACCTTTTAGGAGGCATGTCTTGCCTTACATAATAAACTAAGCCAAGAAGAGCACTCATGTCCCTAGCTAAACTAAAAAGGAGGGTGACTTTTGGTGAGATTTTTAGCTTATCCTAACTAGAAGAGAAAGAAAAGGGCGACTTACTAATTAAGCAATAGCAATTACAAGATAGGAGGAAAGGGAATATGTTCCAAATTCAAATGAAGTACCAAATTGTGCTATACTATACATTCATGAATAGTTAGAGTCAAAATTCAGCACCATAATGCACTCATCATTAGCATCCACTTTTAATAAAATGAGTTCTTTTTAAACTAAACTAAGCTTTCCTTATCTTGAACTTGATGGAGGTGGAGGCACATTGGACTTGGTCATTATTATCCATGCAACAAGCCCAATAGCAAGAATTACGCCCCCAAGTAACTTACACTTTAAATCATAAGTGCCCTACAACACACAACACACAATAGTCAAATTTATATATAATGGTCAAAACTTAGGGAAATGAAATAATGTGCAATAATTAAGCAAAATCATACACATAGAAGTATATATTTGGAGTACTAGTCCGATGGAAATAAAAAAGGAGGCAGAAAAGTTCTTTGGGAATAAATTCAAAGAAAGATGGCCAATTAGACCAAAATTCTGTAACCCAGGTTTTAAAAAACTTTCTGAACTCGATGGTAGATACTTGGAAGCTGAATTTACAATGGAGGAAATAAAAAACACGGTTTGGACATGTGGAGGTGATAAATCGCCGGGACCGAATGGATTCACGTTCAAATTCATAAAAACATTATGGGAGCTGTTGAAAGAGGAGATTGTGGGGATGGTAAAGTACTTTGAAGTTCACGTGAAGCTATCGTGTGGGTGTAACTCATCCTTTATATCCCTTGCGGCGAAATCTAAGGATCCAGTACATTTCGGAGATTTCAGACCAATAAGCTTGACTGGGTCCATTTGTAACATTATAGCAAAGTTGCTTGCAATTAGATTAGAAAATGTAATCGGTAACATCATTAGGGAAGTACAATCAACATACGTGGAAGGTAGAAACATATTGGAAGGGCCGGTGATAGTTAATGAGCTTTGTCATGGGCAAAGGCAAAAGGTAAAAAGATGCTACTTTTCAAACCTGACTTCAATAAAGCATTTGATTCGATAAATTGGGCATTCCTGGATTCTATCATGGAACAAATGGGATTTGGATTGAAATTGAGAATATGGATAAGTGGTTGTTTGGGATCCGGAAGAGCGTCAGTAATAATCAACGGTAGCCCAACTAAAGAATTCTCAATGACAAAGGGAGTTAGACAGGGTGACCCACTCTCCCCTTTCCTATTTATAATCGCGATGGAAGGGCTCAATCAAGTGATGTTAACAGCAGTGGAGAAAGGAATTTATGAAGGAATAAAATTTTCACAATCTAACATCTGCTGGTCTCATTTATTCTATGCAAATGACACACTATTCATTGGAGAATGGTCAAGGAGGAACATTGCAAATTTAGCAAGAATCTTACGTTGTTTCCATGTGTCGTCTCGATTAAAAGTGAACTTCATGAAGTCAAAGGTGTTCGGTGTGGGGGCATCAAATTCAGAAGTATCAAACTGGGCGGCTTTTCTCGGGTGTGAACCTTCATCTATCCCATTCTCTTATCTTGGGGTTCCGGTGGGTGAAAACATAAATCGGAAACGAGCATGGAGACCGGTTATTGATAAGTTCCAGAATAAGCTCACGACTTGGAAAGCGAAATCATTAAGCTTCGGTGGTAGGCTAACCCTCGCAAAGGCGGTCCTTGGCAACTTGCCTACATACTTTTTGTCGATCTTTGCAGTCCCGAATGGTGTTATCGACACGTTGGAAAAAATCAGAAGGAACTTTATTTGGAACAAGGAGTACGAGAAAAAAAGTATTCGTTGGGTTGCTTGGAATAAGCTTGTTTCTCCAAAGGCGATTGGGGGGGGGGGGGGGGGGATTGGGCTCGGCTCGATTAAATCTCTCAATGTCTCTTTGTTAGCAAAATGGATGTGGCATTTGAAATCTGAGGACTCATCTCTGTGGGCGAAAACTATTCGATGTATACATAATTTAGAAGGAAGGCACTGGTCAGTGTTTGCAAATAGATCAAGTACGGGGGTATGGAAAAACATAACTAAATCTAGGTTATTTCTGCAAACGGTCAACATTAATCCCAACGAAATAATATCTTGGAATGTGAGTTAGGGTGCTTGGACATCAAATTTTGTTTCTGATGGCCGATTTATGGTGAATCGGTTAAGTGAAAGGATTGAATTAGCTGGCTATGTGGTATGTGACGGACCGTTTGATTGGGGAAAATGGACACCGTTCAAGATTCTCTCCTTCACGTGGAGAGCAAAGCAAGGGAAAATTTAATCCGCTATGACACTTAGTAAGCGCGGGATCCATATCCCATCGACAAGATGCAGTTGTTGTAACTTGGAAGAAGAGACGTTTGACCACATTTTGATCACGTGCCCAACGACGACTTTTGTCATAGATTCGATTCTATCTTGGTGTGAAATAAGTTGTGAAGGATTTACTTCGGTAAAGGATATGATACTATTCGTCTCAAGGTGGTCTGGATGAAAAAAAAAAAAAAAAAAACTACTGAATATGATATTAAGTGGTGCATTACGGTGCTTATGGTTGGACATAAACAAAAGGGTTTATGAATAGATTCACACATCACCGGAGATCAATAATAGAAGGGATAAAAATCATAACTTTTACTTGGTGCAAACATAGAACTCCATGCAAAAAGATGGATTGGAGAGTGTGAAATTTATGTCATTTTCTTTGTTTATAATTTATTGTTTTTGACCGTCTTTGTACTTCTTTTCCCACATCTTCTTGATCTGGTTTCTTTTTTAATATATTTTCCGTTTTCCAAAAAAAAAAATAGTAATAACCTTAACACTTGAAGAAGAGGCACCAGACTCTAGCCAATATCTGATCAACTAGACCAACTTTACCTTGCATGTTCCTCATCTTGTGCATCTCAGGTGCATGCTGCATGATTGAATTTTTTGTTTTTAAGTTAAAAGTAAATTTGAATTACGTTAACGAAGAAAATATGGGATGATCACAAAATTGACAAACTTTTTAAACAAAATAACCATTTGAGTCAATCAATTGCAAAATTCCAATAAATTGAAAACAATCATATTTCATAAATTGAAAACAATCACTTCAAATATTTTGTGAAAGTAAAATTACATAATGTGGAATTAGTATAAACAGAATAATTAACCTAGAGCAATTAATTTATAAAGAGAAACAAGCGAAGAAATTTAGATGAATGAATTACCTGAGCACATATTTTCAAAGAGTAGCGATAATCTTCATTCCGTGGAGACTAAGACAACAATACATTTCAACAGAAAACATCAACACTTGGATTTGATGCTTAGAGTACATAAATAAATAAATAATTTCATGTACAAGAAAAGGGATGAAGTAATTAATAAATACTAGTTCTACAGCCTTTATGAAATATCGAAATGCCACGTCATACTTCCCCTAAGTACCACACAGCCTTATCATTTGTAGGATCGATAGTCAATGCCTTATGAAGTTTTGACATAGCCTCTAAACATTGTTTATTCATTCAGTCAAAATTATTTTATAAGCATGAAAAAACAGAATTAATGTATTAACACTAGCTAATAATTCAAACCTTACCTTCAAGCATCTCAGTTGATTCATATAATTTTCCAAATTGGGAGAACTCCAGCAAAAGTCCAGCCCATGTTGTTAAACTCTGTAATAAACACTGTAACTGTTATCCAAAATCCCTTCATTTTGACCCTGAAACATCTATCTGAATTTAAACTAAGGAAGGACGAAATCAAATTACAGATAAATTCAATCAATGTCCGAAGCTTCATATATCATGCATAGGAAGCTAGGGAAAGAAGCGTACATCTGTGTCAAGGGGCTTCTTGGAGAACTTTTTTGCAGCAGCTAAACGAGTGTCTTTGAGGATTCATTTCCTCTCCGATTCCCTTTCAACGAAAGG